ATAAAATGATAATATTTGTTATCGTTACAATAATGGCCAGTTATTCGGTGAATACATTTCTACTTAGAATAAGAATAGATTAATTGAATTTTAGATTTTCTCGTCGAGCCTCGGTGAGAACATTATCACTCACTGAGAAATGCAGGTACATCCAGATGATGAATCCCAAATAGAACGAAATGCGCATCCTGCATTCCACTGCTAGTCACCACCCAATAATTAAGAATAGATTAGTTCTCATAGCGTAACAAAATAGATAGTAGTATTTGTGTGACAACTGAGCTGGGATAAATCCAACTACAAAGTATTGTGTAATGCGAGACGACGAGTAGAGTGCATTTGAATGCTTGAGTCTCCGTTACATATAACTGAAGCTGTTGCAGTTAGGGCGACTAAACCGCATCTTTGTATTCAAAAAGAACACCTACAGACGCTTTTCCTACCATGGCCGAACTTGGATCAATGATTCTCCTTCTCACTTGTCTTCCCCTTAACCCGCTTGGCTTTCTTATCTTTGCTTATTATTACAATTATTTTAATTCGGATAGCGTTATTAGAAGACGGAGATTATCTGAAAAATGTCATGTAATGTGTTTGAGCAATACATTTCGAACAATCTGATCCCTCACACATTTACTTGTCAAGTCGATATATGTGAAAAAATTACGGGCAATTAAATTAAACAAAGTGACAAAAAAAGATTTAAGAATGATTAACACAATGTTTGGATTTCCAGGGGAGGTTAAGAGTAATAATAAACTGTTTGTGAACAGACAGGGCTTAAGTTTATGAGTAGCTATAGCCCCAGTGTATTTCAATAAGTGGCCTTCACCATTTTTATAGATGACCTTAAAGGATGTGTTAAAATCAATATTATGGTTCATCTCGACTAGATGTTTGGCTATAGACGAAGTTGGTAGTCTGACAACTGCATCTATTGATTTTCCACAATTCATTTATCCCTCTAACCATTTCGGGATATGCTCTTCCACCGTCACATGTAAAGCACGATTACTCCTCCCTGTGTATGTGTGCCCACACACACACGAAAAATTATTATTCGTCATAATTTATACCCTTCATGCAAACATTCTCTGAATACCATCGAATTTCCCATTTATGCTATTCGGAATTATTATTAGTGATATTATCTCCTTACCCAATATATGCCTCCGCCTGCCTTCATTTTTACATATTGGTTGTTTCATGATGAACTTTTCACTGCAGTCTTACTATCTCATCTTTAATACATACTAATTTGTACTAGCCACTCACCTGACACCTTTTATAACCTTGAACTGAAATGTCAATTTTCCTTCCCCACTGTCTCCCATTTCATAATATTTTGTAACCGAATTCAGCCTAGATCACGTTTGTCACACTCAAATACTATTTATTTTGACACCCCATAACTAATCTGCTATTCTGCGTAAAAATATATCCGCCGCACAACTGGCTATTATTGTAACGATGACAAATATTATCAATGTAAGCATAGAATTTGGGCACTGTGGTAGAATGTAATTCCATATCAGATAAGTTTTTTTTGAATATCACACAGCGATCCAGTATTAACAACTGGATGGCAAGGTTTCGAGCATAAATTACTGCTCATAATCATATCATCATATTTTGGGTGGGACAGGGTGAGAGTATTAAAAAGTAATGTAGTTAGATGGAAATAGAGAGAGGGGTTAATTACTGAAGCTTTGTTTATCGGCTCAACACCGCATACGTGCAATCGGAATGACACAACGCCGCCTATACCGGAGATATGGAAAGTGGCAACAAACAACAAAGGGAACTTGGAGAGACAGAATAGAGAATATATATATATAGTAATTTCTTCGTTACAGACTGGATTCTATCAGTCAGGTTTGCAGTGTGGCCACCATTCTAGGTAGCTCGCCGTCACGGTGCACATTGATTTGATGATATTAGATGGTTAGAGGCAGTCGGCCACAGGAAGCCTTACACCTAGGTTTAGTGCTAGTTGGCACTCACCAGTCAGCAAGGCGTGTCTGCACCCTCGACGGAACTCATGTCCCTTCTGAGATTCGAACCCGCGTCATCCACTGCTGCAGTTAGTGCCACATTGCAAACCTGACTGAGAGAATTCAGTCTGCACCAAAGAAAGGACTAGATATGTCACGCTAGTTACTAGTGTCCAAACAAAAATATCTAATACAGTGCTCCAGGGTGTCAGTCGCTAGACCGAATAGCTGAGTAGTAATGTCTCTGACTGCAGCAGTCGGTGACGTGGGTTCGAATCTCAGAAGGGACATGAGTTACAGATACGCCTTTCTGACGAGTGCCAGATAGCACGAAAGCCAGGTCCAAGGCTTCCTGCCGATTGCCTCCACGAATTGTCAGAGGTTGGAATTCGTGGGTCAGCCACTGGATTGGTCTCTAGTGGTTGAGTGGTCTACGAACCTGCCTTATAACTGGAAGTTCCTGGGTTCGACCCCAGTGGATGAGTAACACCGATGAGTCTCAAACTAGAATGAAACAGCTGTCCAGTACTCCAAGGTTGTCAGTGGTTCTCTAAGGGATGTAAACTTGTGATCAAACATTTAACAACTTTGCTAAGTAATAATACAGCAAATATATTCGTGTTTTAGCTATAAAGCATGAAGATAAAGGCCATTTAGGTTACATAATTAAATAAATAATAGGATGGAGGGCCTAAAAGACACTGGTAAACTTATATACCTACAACAAAATTACAAGAATATTTTAGAGTTAATAAAGATAAAAACCGTTTATTCGTATAAAACTGATAGCACAATACTCTTTCTTTTCTTTCATTCCTTCGATTTCCCAGTGGCACATAGGGCTTCAAGTGAAACCTTTGAAGTTTCAGTAGCACTGGTTCTATCTTAACGAGATGGTGTTGCTAGCCTCACGCCCAACCTTCCCTCCTTACCGGTTTTGCTACCAGCTAAGCGAGGTTTGTGGGGTGCGTCGTGGATAAGTTGCTTAGTGGGGTACATACGTGTATCAGTCCTCTAATTGTGTTGGTTCAATACCGTCTCCGTACATCAAGTTTGAGCAACCTTCCAGTACGTCTGTTCCAGTTAACAAACGTGTGGTTTACTCCAGCACCTTGTATTTTTGTGAACCTGTGATGAAATGGAAAATGTGCTTGACTACGAATCAGGAGACTCCAGGTTCGAGTCCTGGCAGGCTTTTGAGGCTTTTAGAGCACACTATTACGTAAGAGTTAAATAATTCAGCTGAACAGAGGTTAAAACATGGTGAGGTAGGATACAGATTAAAATATTTTCCCCATAGTTGAGCAGTGCTAACAACAGTTTCCTGTTGAATGCAGAAGCTCGTCATTTGAGAGATGTTGCTTATGTAATCGGCATTATTTTTTATTATATTTAACTCTGATAAAGAGATTATATGCCCTTAATTTTGTTTTTATCCATACTCTCTACTTCCCTATTGTTTTCATTCGAGCTCAACTAAATCATTTAAAGCTAATTTAACATGATTGGACCGAAGTGCTCGGTCTCAGGTTGACTTGTTGGCTTCTTGTGCAGATGCTTCGACGATGTATGAGCATGTAATTAGAAGTTGATTGGTGGATGGTGACCAGCAGTGGAATCCAAGATGCGCGTTTCGTTCTATTTGAGACTCGTCAATTGGATGAACCTGTATTCCGCAGTGAGGTGGCTCTCGTGGCCCAAGTGGTGTAGTCGATAAATCTTTGGCGTTTGAAACTGTGGGCACTGGGTTCGAGCCTCGGTGAGAATATCATCACTCACTGCAGAATGCAGGTAAATCCAGATGACGAGTGTCAAATAGAACGAAATGCGCATCCTGGATTCCACTGCTAGTCACCATCCACCAACTAACTCCTGGATTGAAATAATAGAGAAGATTTGTAGCTCAGGTGGATGATTTGCAATTAAAAGTGTTCTCTGAGCTGGTTGGTTTAGTTGCGGAGCTTTCGTCGTCCTCCTGAACAACATCTTCAGCGCCATATTTAGCACAAAGTGAAATGATTTAAATTTCTTCATGCGTTATGTAACTGCGTCTCCTGGTTACTATCTTTACATATGTATTGATCACTTTCTATTGACTTGGATTTTAAACTTTTTGGTCACCTGATTTACTTTTTATTAATTGGTATATTTCATCTATATTAACGTGTTTGTTAATCGCATTTTCGCTTGAGTACCAGGCTTCTAGGAATTCTCTGGCACTTTTCGTGTTTCCTCTGTTTAAGATTTTGACATGATCCCAATCAAACTGATGACCATAATTGTCTGTATGCATTGAAAGTAAAGAATACATATCATGTAACTTCTAGTTTAACATGGATTGCCTATTTTCAACTTCGATAAAACAAGAAAGGTCAAATTTTCAGTAGAAATTGACATCATCTTATTTCACAGATTCTCATCAATTACAACTTGCCGAAACGGTCATAATGGGACACCTTCAACCGAACCCATTCATGAAGAAAACAGAATGTGATAAGTCTCTGAGTTTGTTGGTTACTGCAATTCGATTTCGATTACATTGATTGAATAATCATCCATATTAGTGACTGTAGCCTACTGAGTTAGTTTCAATCTTGTGGGCTAAAACAGTATAACCTTAATAGCTGACAATGTTCATAATTCTCTCCACTTTTCTGTCTTATCTCATTCCCTAATTTTCCACTATGAAATATACATGAATTGGCGATGACTTCGCGTTGGTGGCATAGCGGTAGAATGCTCGCCAACCGGGCAGGTTCGATTCCTGGGCGACGCACTCCTTTACCTCGCTAAGTCATTAAGAAGACTGCTAAAAAGGGAAGGTTGGGTATCAGGTTAGCAGCGCCGTCCCATAAAAATAAATACCACTGCTACCGAAACTTCAGGTATCTAGCTTGAAGCCCAATGTTCCACTGGGAACGTTAAGGAATAAAAAAGAATTCATATAGAAAATATCAAAAAAGCATATTATTGTTATTAGTAGTATTACAATCACAAGGAACTTACGCAGTGTCATGTTCTCTTTAGTGAATAAACCATTAGGATAAGCGATCGATTGAGCAGCTACCGCATAACCAACCATAATCACAGTTAAAATAATCATAAATGGAATCAAATCATTCGTCACCTTTTGATTTTTGAAATTTAAAAGAATTTTAAGGAATGAATAAATGAAAATAAAATTAAACTTTACTAATTACACAATGGAAATATTAATGAAATTATAAATAATATTAACTATTCTGAATAAGGCACATTTTAGTCTTTATTGTTTGTCGCCTATTAGTTTCTTTTCAGGTTTATAACCATCCTCTTAGAGTTCATTTTCATCACTTGCTATAAATGAGCATTAGTCAAAACTCTGTGTTATTGTTATTATTGTTTCCTTTGATTCCCAGAGGAACGTAAGGCATCAGCCGTGCGTCTCCATTGCGTTCAGTTCCCTGCTAGAGTATTCACCTGGCTCAATGTCTGCCCACATGCTTTCATCTCCTCTTCACATGACCTCCTCCAAGTCACCCACCCTCGCACTGACGACCAACTCGCCGCTTCCCTTTCGGGTTCCACTCGAGCAATGGCTTGTCTAGTGATGTCACTTGATGCATTGTTTCCTCAGAGTATGGCCAGCCAATCCATCTCCATTTCTTCCTGCCTATTTGTTTCACAATTGGTTCCTGGTTGGTTCACTCCCAGAGATCCCCGTTACTGATCTTTTCTGGCCGGCCATCTGATCTTGAGTATTGAGCGAAGACAACTGTTGATGAAGGTCTGTAGTTTGTTTGAGATGCTCTTTATGACGCGCAGTGCAAGTCTCTGATCCGTATACTAGCACTGACTGACTTCACATTGGAGTTGAAAATCCGGATCTCATTTTTGATGCTGAGTGCTGTTGACCTCCACACAGACATGAGAGTAGTGAAAGCTTGTCTTGCTTTCCCGATCCTCGCTGCCTTGATATCCTCGTGAGTTCCATCCGCCTGTAGTTGAAACGATGCTACCCAGGTAGGTATAAGTGAAGCAGGTTGTTTCTTTCAGGTTCCTCCCATTTATGCTGATCGTTGTCTGTTGTTGTTGTTGTTGTTCTTGTCCAGGAATCTTCATTACCTCTGTTTTCCCTGTGTTCACCTGGAGCCCTTTCTTTTATGCTTCTTCTGCCAACTTGTTGCTTTTCGCTTGCATATCTTCCAGTTTGTGGGAAATCAGACATATATCATCGGCGAAGTCCAGATCCTTGC